GGAGAAGCAAGAATTCAATGCACTCAATTCTAATATGAAGACAGCAGATGAGCTAATTCAAGGGGTGAAGTAAGGGAGTGAGGTAGTAGGGAGAGGGGAGGAGGAGGGGGATGGGGTCACAGTGTATGGCACACCTCTTGGGGGCAGGACACAAGAGGGACTTTATCTAACAAATGCAATCAGTGTAACCTAATTCTTTGTACCCTCAAAGAATCCCAAACAATAAAAAAGGGAAAAAATAAAATAATGATTCTCAAACACAGATTTGAGAGTACGAAGTTAATCAGGCCATGTCTACAGTCCAGCTCTCCCAATGTGGTCTTCCTATATACTTTCTATTGGGTGTGCTTGTCTTCCTACGATGCCACCAGATCTGTAAGGTCATGAAACTGTACCACACTGTGCTCTGTGACCCTTCTACTGTATACTTCTGTCCCTACTGTACGTGATTCCCTTGCAGTTTGCACCTACAGAGGCCTCAATTAATGATTTACAATGCTTACCCTCACCGGCCCCTCAGTTAAAAGCCCAGGAACTCCATGTTCAGTTTAGCCTACTCAATTCATTGTTTCCTTGTGACTATAGATTTGGGCGGACAATCTCAGCATGATTGATAAATCATATTCTTATCATTCTTTTACTTCTAAAATTTGAGAGTAAAGTATTAACTCTAAGATCTGAGCTAGAAGGTAAAATGTCTAAAGTGGATTCTGCCTGCCTGTTGTCATCCTAGGCTTCCTGGGTCTAGCCCCATCTTTGATATACACATATGCCGTTTCCCACTGTTCAGAGCCTGTGCTCCTCCAGGGCAATTCAGTGGGTTAAGGGGCTTTCTCTGCTCCCTTCACTGAAGTGAGGGAGCCCTAATCCTAACTATAGTCCTGTAACACCTATTCTCATTAATAGATGTCAGAACAAAGGTTCATGGGTGTGTCTAGTAGGGAAGAAGGTAAGATCAGACCCAAATTTTCTGGCTCCATAGCCTATTTCCCCCCATTTTATTATGGAATATTTCAAACTTAGGGGAAGTTAAAATAGTGAACTCACCTGCACCTATCGCCTGGTTTCAACCCTGCCATTCTAGTTTCATGTGTATTCAACCCACTCTCTGCTCCTGCATTTGATTTTTAGAAGGTGGGTTTACATTCATTCAATGTGTATGCTTAACTGAATGACTTCTGACTAGCAAATGCACCTGTATAACCTACATTCCTGTCAAGATATGAAACATTCCCTTCTCCTGACAAAGTCCCTTATGCTCCCTCCCAGAAAACTCACCCCTCCACTGAAGGGGAAACAGCTGTTCTAATTTTTTTTTCACCATAGATTAGTTTTGACTCTTCTGAAACTTCATATAAATGAATTATACAGTATGTGCTCTGAGTCTGGGTTCTGTGCCTGTCAGTGGTCTTTATGTTTTTTTTTAAGACAGAGTCTCATTATGTCGCCCTCGGTAGAGTGCTGTGGCATCACAGCTCACGGCAACCTCAAACTCTTGGGCTCAAGGGATTCTCCTGCCTCAGCCTCCCAAGTAGCTGGGACTACAGGTGCCTGCCACCACGCCCAGCTATTTTGTTGTTGCAGTTGTCGTTGTTGTTTAGCTGCCCCGGGCTGGGTTTATACCTGCCTGCCTCGGTGTATGTGGCCAGCACCATAACCACTGTGCTACGGGTGCTGAGCCAAGGTCTTTACTTTTTATATTGAGTAGTACTTTTCTGTATGAACATACCACATTTGGTTAGCCATCTTCTTATTGATGGGCATTTAGGTCATTTCTAGCTTTTGGCTATTATAAGTAATACTGTTATGAGTATTTTTGTACAAGTGGTTTTGTGGAATTTTTCATTTCTGGTGGGTAAATATGTAGGAGTGAAATTTCTGAGTTAAAGGAGAGGTGATTGTTCGTATGAAAGTCAAAACTTTCCCCAAAGTTAGAACCATTTTACATTCCCCCAGCAATGTCAGCCCCAGCTGCTCCATGTCCTTGCCAACATTTGCTGTCTTTTTTGAAATTCTAAATTCAAAATGTGGTGTGTAGTGATACCTCACTGTGGTTTTAATGTGCATATCCCCAGTAACACTGATCAGAGCAGTTTCATGGTCTTGTGGATCTTCATGGTCTTCATGAATCATCTGGTCTAGTCTTTTGCCCATTTTTAAATTTTTTGCCTTTTTACTATTTTTTTTTTTTTTTTGAGACAGAGCCTCAGGCTGTCCCCCTGGGTAGAGTACTGACATCACAGCTCACAGCAACCTCCAACTCCTGGGCTCAAGGGAGTCTCCTGCCTCAGCCTCCCAAGTAGCTGGGAACACAGGTGCCGGCCACAGTGCCCGGCTATTTTTGGGTTGCAGCTGTCATTGTTGTTTTGGTGGCCCCGGGCTGGATTCGAACCAGCCACCTTAGATGTATGTGACTGGCACCTTAGCCATTTGAGCCACAGGCGCCGAGCTGCCTTTTTACTATTGATTGTAGGAGTTATGTATTCCAAATGATTTTTTTTGTCATATATTTTTGCAAATATTTTCTCCTAGTATGTGGCTTATTTTCTTAATGGTCTTTTTTATTTTTTCCTTGAGACAGAGTCTCATTTTGTCACCCTTGGTAGAGTGCCGTGTCGTCACGGCACCTACAGCTCACAGCAAACTCTTGGGCTCAAGTGATTCTCTTGCGTCAGTCACCAGAGTACCTGGGACACAGGCACCTGCCACAACACCTAGCTATTTTTAGAGAGGGGGGGGTCTCACTTTTGCTCAGGCTGATCTCAAGCAATCCTCCTGCCTCAGCTTCCCAGAGTGCTGGGATTACAGGCATGAGCCATTGTGCCTGGCCCAAGCCAGCCAGTTTTGAGAATTCTTGGTTTTTTGTGAGAGTCACAGTCCCTCTGTAGCTCTCTCCTGTTAGAAGCCATTCGCTCTAGCCCATTTGGCATACTGGCTTGTTTGTAAACATGCTTTGCACCACTTCCCTGCCTGACTGGCAGCGACCTCCTGATCTACAGGGCCCGTCCTTCTTGCACCTCGCTGTCTTTGCGAGTTCAGTGCTTTACTTCAAACCCCAACCTAAACACTATTTCCTCAGAGTTGTGTTAGCTGGAGATAGCTTCTCCTAGCTCAGATCACTTGTATTTTTTTCTTTTTTTTTTTGAGACAGAGTCTCAAGCTGTCGCCCTGGGTAGAGTGCCATGGTATCACAGCTCACAGCAACCTCAAACTCCTGGGCTTAAGCGATTCCCTTGCCTCGGCCTCCCAAGAAGCTGGGACTACAGGTGTCTGCCACAACACCCGGCTATTTCTTGGTTGTAGTTGTCACTGTTGTTTGGCAGGCTGGGGCTGGATTCAAACCCGCCAGCTCAGGTATATGTGGCTGGCACCCTAGCTGCTACAGGCGCTGAGCCCAGATCACCTGTATTTTTGAATGGCACTTTCACATACACTGAGTATCTCTTCCACTGAAGAACTGGGTTTGTGGCCCCAGTGTATGTAACAGCAGGTTTGCTAAATGAGAGTTAAACTATAAATGTCTTCAAAACAATGCAAATACCAGCATAATATGCTAAAAAACATCCTTGTTACAGTCTTCTTAATTTTTTTTTTTTTTTGGCTGGGGGCCGGGTTTGAACCCACCACCTCTGGCATATGGTGCCAGTGCCCTACACTTTTGAGCCACAGGTGCCGCCCTACAGTCTTCTTTTTCTTTTTTGAGACGGAGCCTCAAGCTATGCCCCTGGGCAGAGTGCCATGGCCTCACAGCTCACAGCAACCTCCAACTCCTGGGCTCAAGCGAGTCTCCTGCCTCAGCCTCCCAAGTAGCTGGGACCACAG